TTTGAGCTTAGATTTGGAGGTGAAGAGAGTAGCTAGGATCTAGGGCAAGAGAATCTAGCAGACAAGGTCAGTCTAAACTTCCTATATAGACTAGGCAGATTTGGGCAACTCCATCGGCCTGGTCTCCTTTCCAGATGTTTCTTTCTCTACAGGCTCCCACTTGATCTTCAATTTCCTTGTTTCCTCATGCTATATTCCTGTTGCTGGAAGGGCAGTACTGTCTGGACGCTGACTAATGAATAGAAGAAGAGTGGGGGGGGGGTTATGTGCAAAACACTTAATAGTAAAGCTGAGGGCCTCCTGCACCTTCTCTCCTACAGACACTTGTAGGTACTTTGCGGAGAGAGGAGCTGATGAGATACTTGTGGGGGTAATTATAGAGGCCATGACCAAGCGCCATTTGGGGGCCTGTCAGGAACTGGATCTGAACCTGGGGCCTGTCAGGAACCGGATCTGAACCCAGGGCCTCTGCTATAGCTGGCATTGGTTCTACCAGCTGAGCCATCTTAAAACCTTGGATAGCTCCTTGCCTGATCTCCTGTGTATCCTCAGTTTTACCTAACCAGCTGCTGAACTCTGAACTCCTTGCTCCTCCCTTGAACTTCCTATTTAAGCCATGCCTCTGCACTTCCTGTTTGCCAGATTATTGTGCTCCTGCCAGTATCTTGCTTCCTGCTCCCTCTGTGCTACTATCTACTTATCCTGCTTCCCGTGTACCGACCTTTGGATTCACCGACTACTCTTACCGTCTCCTCCTACATACCGGATACCTTTGGCTCCTGACCTCGACTTGTTCGCTGACTACGCTTCTGCCTGCTCCTCCACTACTACCCGCTGCTTGTGTACTAAACCCGGCCTGTTGTACTACGAATTGCCTGCTGCTTCAGCTGCTGGAGTCTGAGCCTGATCCCAGATCGTGACAGGGCCATGAGCAAGCGCCATTCGGTTGCCATTGTCCTGTCCAGAAAGATTGTTTCCATGTCCAGTAAAGGCACTAAAACAGTTCAGGGGAATGGCAATTGGTAGAACTTACCCATAAAGTCAGCAGATGGTTAACTCTCCGAATCATCATTCTGATGTGTATTTCTTTCAACTACAACGTTTTGTTTTGTGATTTTAGAAACACATCCAACCTTTTTAAAAAAAATATCTACTGAGTTTACTGGAACCAGTCCCTGTGGCAGGCTGTTTCAAGTTTTACACAACTGTTAAAGTAAAGAAGCCTTCCTGTATCCATAGCTTAAATGTCTTTTTCTACAGGGTCCTGGTTACCATAAAGTAATAAAGTGTCCACTTTATGCTCATTAATACATTTATAGAAGATTAACATATGCTCCTTAATGACCTGTTTTTTCAAGGTTAATACATTTAGTTCAGTTCATGTTACCCCAAAGCTGCGGTCCATCCCTTATTCATTTAGATGTCCTCTGCACTCTTTCTCGATCCATTCCATGATTTATGTGACCTGGTGCCATAACCTTGGACTGCATAGTCACAGTAAGATCATAATATTACTTTGTGTAGAGGCAAAATGATGTCTCTCTCTGTTCTTGCTATGCCCTTTGAAGTTTTAGAAGGGTCAGACTGGCATTCCATGCTGTTGTCAAGTAAATGATCTACAAGGACACCTACAGTAGATCCTTCTCCTTCACTAATTTACCCAATTGTATCCTCCCCATGTTTTATGTAGCACATACACCGTTCATTGGAGATTTTTCGGACTTGCTCCTTTGACAAAAGAGATTGAAAAGCTGACTTTTATCACAAGGAGGGGTACCAGCGGGCCACACAAAGCTTACATTTCAGCCGAGTCAGCAGGATGCAGCCGAAATGTAAGAAGTGTATGTTTAGCTTTAGCCTCCATGTGTAAAGTGTTACATTTCTGCACACTGAGCCTCATTTGTCACACCATCCATTAATGCATCTACCTTATAATCTAAAGACAAGGTTACTACATAGCTCTGAGTCATCTGCATACAAATAAACAGTACTTGTGATCCCCAATTCTATATAATCGAGAAACAAATTGGTCCTGAAATTGAACTTGTGGGTACATCACTTAAAACCTTTGAGAGTAAATAGCACTAATCACAACTCTGTGACTGCGCTCTTTAATCAAGGATTATCTTCATTTACAAACTGAATTATTTCAATCAACAGACCATAATTTACAAATCAGTCCTCTCTCTTCATAGCTTCATGCTAAGTTTTGGGACTCTGTGCTTCTACATATGTAACAAGGGAGACATCTAGTGGCATGTTTTATTTTAGTTGCTATGTAGAGCTCATAGCGCAGGGGCTAGCAGTATATCTACAATGTCTTCTGGCTTAATAGTCCTGGATACCTCCCAGCTTCCAGTGTTGTGATCAGTGTTGGGTTCTCACACAGAGAAATGATTCTGATAAGCTGGAGAGCAATGTGAACTGCAGACAGATGCAGAAGCCTATTTTCATCTTGTCATGTCAAAGTATGATGCAAGGGTGTAACTATGCATGACAGGACCCCATAGCAAAACTATTAAGGGGCCCCTTGCTCTTTACCTTCCATCCTCAAGGCAATCCTTGCAACACAAAATATTTTTTTTGTCTTCGTAGAATCCTTAGAGAGGCTCCCAAATTGTAGGTACATTGAGGGGAATTTAGCAACACTGGAGCAGACACAATCTGCAGCAGATTTGCACTGCAGCCAATCAACTTCTCTCTTTCATTTTCAAATCTTACCTGAGCAAGCTTAAGAGAGGTGCTGATTGGTTGCTATGGGCAACTGCTCCAGATTCTGTTTGCTTCAGTTTTACAAAATTCCCCCCATTATGTTTATCCAAATATGTCTTGCCAAAGGCTACCACAACCTGTATAAATTAATATGTAGGCAGATATGGTTGGGTCGCCAGTACTGCTGATCCCCATAGTAGTTGCATGGTTTGCTATAGCTTTAGTTACATCCTAAGGATGATGTCATTTCAACGTTTCCCCAAACTGTCACTCTGACTTTTTGGTGAAGCCAATCTGCAATGTGCAGCAGAAAAGGGGTCAGAAGACCTCAGCATGACACTCTTAAGGTGCCCATACACCTTACGATTATCGGACGATTTTTATATGCGATCGACTTTTCGGCCGATAATCGTATGTGTGCATTGCAGTGTCCGACCGACATTACTGTACAATCGTACGACTTTTGGAGGTCAAGCATGTTTGAAAACTTTGCTAGATCATACGATTTTCGCAAGGTTGCTGGCGTTTCAGTCCGTCAAAAGTCGTACGATCTACACTGCGCTTGCGCTAACGAAAATACAGCAAATCAATTACCGAATTTCGCCCAGGTGCTTTTCGTTAATTACGGCTAAATTAATCTTGCGATCATCGGGGCAGGATGGGGCTGCCGTACAAAAATCGTACGACTATTCGATTCATCCGATAATCGTAAGGTGTATTGGCACCTTTACTGCCCTTTCTGATATCAGTGTGTAGCACGCCTTTTCCTGGTTTTGCAGGAAGGTTTTAAAATTGATTTTAGGGGACAGTCTAGTGTGAACGGGCCCTAAAAGCTGCTGGGGCCCGGTTTTTGGAGTTTTAATTTGGCTTATGAGAATAGAGTACATTTGGCAGACCCACAGGTATTTTCTGTACTTGCAGGAAATGTGCATGTACGGCTATGTATGATATACTGCGTATGTTTTATTTTTCACTTAGGCTCACACCATGTCCAGACCAGATCTGCAAACGTTTTTGCTGTGTTCCGGTGCTTTTTTGTTGTGCTTAAAATGGGCTTTCAGGTGTAGTCCAGTGTGTTTGCATGCATTTTTATGTGTTTACCTGGGTTCCAGTGCGTTCCGGACCAAACGGGAAAAGCAGTATTTTTTGTCTGGATAGGAACAGACTGCGTTGATGTGAACAGAGCCCAGAAATACCATAGGTATACATTGTGATGCTTTTTTGGTCTGGGAAGAAACTGTTCTGGTCTGGAGATGGTGTGAAGAAGCCCTGTCCTCTCCTCGCTGGCCGCCGCCATCCTCAGGATGGAGATCGGTGAGCAGAGCGGAAGGGTTAGAACTAACCCTGCCGCTCCATGTAGACAGTGAGAGGGGAGAGCAGTCTTACCCTACTGCTGTGCTAGACCTCCTGTCTAAAGAGAACCTGTCACCTCCAATTGCTATCACACAGGGGATTGTTAAATCCTGTGTAATAGCAATAAAGTTAAGTAGAAAAAAATTGATTAAAAATTTAAAAAGTAAAACAATAAATAAAAAAGTGATAAAAGAGTAAAAAAAAAGAAACAAAAACATTCAAACCAACCCTGTAACCCCCCACTAGCGCATTGCGGGAACTGGCCAAGGGGCGGCAGGCAGGGTAAATCGCAGGTATTATGTGCCACGCATTCTGGTGCTGGTGGGAACGCAGGGAGCCAGCCAGGATGCGATCCAGGGCATTCCAGCAGCTAATCCTGCTGGAACGCACTGGAATGGGTGTGAACAAGCCCTTGAAGTCCACCAAATGGAGATGAAATAGCTTTAATTCCATCTTTCACACCATGCTCCATCCATACTGAGGGTGTAATATGGAACATGGTGCCATTCTGCGGCCCCCATCACTCATCTGAATGTTGGGATTCTTCTATATATATGAATTCGGTTCATAGGCTCTGTGACGAATCGGTTACAATGCTTGGCGGTTGGCAGGTTTAATGGCACATGTTTCCTTCCTGCAGTCTGGGACATTATTCATTCTGATTGGAATATGATTGGAATATAAATATATTTATATACAGAACTCGAATGTCATAGACGTGTAGCTGTGCGCTCATCATAATCATTCCCCGGCCTCATAGACAATGACTGCGGAGAAGCCAATAGCAGGGAGCGGCACAAGGAGCGCGGAGTGATCGGCGCTCCCACAATGCTTTGCGGCGGCTCCGGGGAACGGACATCTCTCCCCTCCGATATGGATGACGGTGACAAAGGTGCGGCTCCGGCGGGCGCACAGGAGAAGCTGATGCTCTATCACTGGACTCATTCCTTCACTTCTCAGAAGGTGAGCCGAGGCTTCAGCAGCTGGACAGCTCAGCGCCGGCCTCCATCTATGTGCATGTCAGTGCTGGCCTCCATCTACGTGCATGTCAGTGCTGGCCTCCATCTATGTGCATGTCAGTGCTGGCCTCCATCTATGTGCATGTCAGTGCTGGCCTCCATCTATGTGCATGTCAGTGCTGGCCTCAACCTATGTGCATGCCAGTGCTGGCCTCAACCTATGTGCATGCCAGTGCTGGCCTCCATCTATGCGAGTGCTGGCCTCCATCTATGTGCATGTGAGTGCTGGCCTCCATCTATGTGCATGTCAGTGCTGGCCTCCATCTATGCGCATGTCAGTGCTGGCCTCCATCTACGTGCATGCCAGTGCCAAACTCCACCTATGTGCATGCCAGTGCCAAACTCCACCTATGCGCATGTCAGTGCTGGCCTCCATCTATGCGCATGTCAGTGCTGGCCTCCATCTATGAGAAAATATTATGTGTCATGGCACGCATGTTATGTCCTTGTTCATGGAGAAAATATCTGTCATGACACGCATGTGCAATAGTGCATACACTACATTTTTTCACCACACAGCAATGTAACGCTTGTTACATTGCTGTGTGGTGAAAAAAAACGAGTGTATGCACTATTGCACATGCGTGCCATGACCTTATCCATTCCAATAGGATAGCCTGGCCCTGATGAATACAGCCATCGCATGAGAATAGATGCCACAGTGTGCATGTGCAGTGTGAAGAGTAGGTGGTCAGAGGTTTCCTTTGAGAAGGCTGTTAAGCTCCCTACAGGGCCGCACACTGAACATCGCAGGGTCACGGCTGATGGCAAGTATGTTACTGGGTGGCATGCACTAAATGGGGGTGGGAGGGGTCATGGGGTGGATCAAGGGGGTGGCTTGCTGTCATACTCTATGCACTCCTCTCCAGCCCACTAAGACACTCCTTTAGCATGCATTATACTTTTGCTAGCACAGGATAATAAATAATGAGGATATAATGAAATGGCACGGCAGCAAAACATAGCGGTGTATATGGAACTATGGGACAAACAGCTGATTAGGATCCCTAACTGTCTTCTATTCTCTGACATTCCTCTTTCATTTCAGGTGCGAGTGGTTATAGCGGAGAAGAATGTGAAATGTGAAGAGTATGATGTCAGTCTACCGCTGAGTGAGCACAATGAGCCCTGGTTTATGCGTCTTAACCCAACGGGAGAAGTCCCAGTCCTTGTTCATGGAGAAAGTATTATCTGTGAAGCTACACAAATTATTGATTATCTGGAACAGACATTTACTGATGGTAAGTTGTTGTCTGATGTGTACAATGTAAAGGCAATTTGATCAAATCTTTGGCTCGTTGTGTATCGGAGGTCATATAAAGATACCAAGGATGTTACCATGTTGATGGCACCCTGAACTCAACAGGCTTTAAGATGGAAAGATGGGGAATCACCAGCACTCAGAAGTATTGTTTTTAGATCTTGCTGATCCTTTATTAATGTCACAAGTGTCCGAAAAGCCAACATTTCGGGGGCCACGCAGGGTCCCTTTATCAGGGCGACATAGTGATCATAGAAGACACACAGCACCATCCGTGTTCATCACTTCGAGCACCGCATTGATTATTGGTTCCAGACGCTGTAAGGAGTGCAAGAGAAACTGCCATACAAAAGGCTTTAAGATGTATATGTTTGTTATTTTATTGCATGATCATTTTCTCCTAAATATGGTCAATTCACAAACATGAATTACAGGGTTATTCACAAAAGGGTGAAGAGTTTGGAGAAGGCAGGAGAAGTGAACAATCTAGGACAACATCGCTGAACTGGAAAGTGAGCTGAATTAGAGAATTTTCCCCAATGAGCTATGTTGTCCTAGATTGTTCACTTCTCCTGCCTTCTCCAAACTCTTCAACCTTCTGCGGATAACCCTGTTAATATTTTTGTGGGAAGCCTCATATTTTCCTGAATCATTACAGTATCCTATAAATAAATATTTTATCGCATCTTCAAACTGCTGCAGCTATGAAGTGCAGACACCCATGCCAGCTTCCTAAACCTTTCACTCAAAGCCGAATCTCAGGCAAAACTCCAACACTACCTCCTGCCTCCGCACATTCCTATTGCTTTATCACTATGAAGGGCAGCTTTACTGATCAAAGACAATATGCAGGAGAAAGGGGTGAGCAAGTTGGTCAGCATTATCATTGTGCATCGAAGATTTATGTGTTAGAAAGGCCGCAAATTCAGCTTGGACAGATTTGGTCACACCAGTTTGAGAGGTTGTTGCAGGTATGTACAGGCAGCTCTTGGCATCTGCAGTGACAGGGTCTCTTTAAGGAGTGATAATATTTGTAACATATCAATAAATTATAGTGTTTGCGGTACACATTTCTGGGTTACATTAAACATCCGAATCTATATCTATATCTATATATTTGTGTGTTCAGAGTCTACTGACCTTGGTACGTGATACCTTGTGGTAGAATACTGCCATGGTCCGGGTGGACAGTAATGCCAATAAGGGGGCATACTCTGTAAGTAAATGAAAGAAAAAAAAAAGGTAGGGTGGGATGGTACACAGGAACCGATCGTCTCCTGTTGAGCCTGAGGACAGAGCTTAAATAGCGTTTGAAGCCCCCCGACTCCTCCAACAAATACAGACTAATATATTAGCCTTCCACATATATATTACCTTAAAGAATAAGTGCACTTATTCTTTATGCCCCTCTTGTGGGGTTCATCTACCTCCATCTCCCGGTCTATGCAGAGAGATGAACACTAGAGCTGCAACAATTAATCGACTAAGTCAATTATAATTGATGGTGGAAAACGTTGTCAACGTTTTCCATCATCGATTAGTTGGATTTCGATTAGTTTGCCTGCTTGCGGCTCCCCGCACGTCAATGTACCATCAGCTATAGGAGGAATACAAATCCCAGCAATACATTATACCATATATTGCAGGCATTTGTTGTATTCCTATATAGCTGGTGGTATTCTGTATTGCGCTGTATAATCATTATACAGCGCAATGCACAATACCACTAGCTATAGAGGACTACAAACCCCAGCAATAATAAATTATACGGCGCAATGGAGAATAACACATCAGATCCCAGCAATAATACATTATATACAACGCAATGCAGAATAACACCTGCTACAGAGGACTACAAATCCCAGCAATAGTACATCACACACAACGCAGAATAACACCAGCTACAGAGGACTATAAATCCCAGCAATAATACATTATATACAGCGCAATGCAGAATAACACCAGCTAGAGGACTACAGATGCCAGCAATAGTACATTATAGTATAAAGTACTATTGCTGGGATTTATTGTATTCCTCTATAGCTGCTGGTATTCTGCATTGCGCCGCTGTATAATGTACTATATTGCACACCACACTTTTTTCTACTTCCACCGCTCCAAGCTTGCTCGCGTGATGGACTACAATCTCAATACAAACTAGTAGTCCATCACTGGAGCCATTTAAAAAAAAAAAATCAGATTAATCAAACTTAGTAATCAGCTAACTAATCGATTTTGAAAATAATCATTAGCTGCAGTCCTAATGAACACCATAGACTTCTGTGGGGCACTATTGTGCAGGAGCGGCAAGCAGAGAGAGGATTTCAGAACTCAGAAGTAATCAAACACGGGAGGCCCTTGGTGCTGGATTTTCAGAAGTATATATATATATATCTGTTGGGTCAAGGGAGGGAGGCAAAAAAATTGAAAATGCTTTGACAGTGCACTTATTATTTAAACGTTAATAGTAAATTCAGATAGTATCGGTTTTACTGCTTTACCACATATTGATTTGTTATTCATATTTTGTTTATGCAAAAATGATGCATATTGCTCAATTCAAAAACAAAAACTGAATATACAGTATTGCAGCTTACCAGTCAGGCTTTTTGACTTTATTTCCACCTGGTAATCCTGAGAATAACATATTTCTTGTTCTGTCATGGCTACACTCACTTCTCCACTTTATCTATGGACATCAAACATGTCTGCCTGTTCATCTCCATTTTATAGCTGTTGATATGAGTACGATAGGAAAAAATATAACATTGCTTGTGATTTCAGTTTAGAGTTTCAAGGAAGTGACACGTTCACTGCATTTCTAGCAAGATCAACAGGCATTTACTGCACTTGCTGACAATGTTCTAAGGAGTTGTAATCTGCAATATATTACATTTTTGTGTTTGGGTTTAGACAGTTTAAGGTTTTCTATTGATCGGATTATATTTTCTGCATGTTATGTTATCTGCAGATAAAACAGCAGGGCTAGTTCCTGAAGAGGGAAGCGTGTACTACCTGAGGGTACAGCACTACAGAGAACTACTGGACTCCTTGCCCATGGATGCCTATACTCATGGCTGTATCCTACACCCAGAGCTAACAGCAGAATCCATGATTCCAGCATATGCCACATCCAGGATTCGCAGTATGTATAGCAGATTTAGTACATGCATATTCTTTAATGAGTACCTTTGGTTTTACAGAATAAGGTATACTTGGTCCAAATTGACAAAATGGCAACTGTGGCATCTGTCAGAAGGACAGATGTGTTGAGATCTCCTGTGGGCTGTTCATGACTTAAAGCGAAACTCTGATTTCAACAGAAATACGTGTTTAGCATTTATAGTCATTGCAGCTGCCCTTTCATTTCTCATCACGCCATCCCTTCCATGTGGGTTAAACTGCAACTTCAAAATACAAATTGTCCCTTGCTTAAGCTGCATAGAAGGCTGTGCGTCTCACGGCCCTTTCCTGTCTCCACTGCCTGTCATTTCAATGCCCCCAAGAAGTACTTCCGACTACATGGGTGTCTCAGATAGTGGACATTAGCGGTGCCATCTCACTGTACCTATGCCCAGACAAACACTTGTCATATGTCGCTCACTGCTGGTGGTGCAAGGCACTATGGGAAATGTAGGCCCTTGTTCAGTGGGCTCCTCTTTTTATTGAGTGGTCATGTGATGGTGAGTGTGTACTTTTTTCTGGGTACATCTAGTGACTTTATTAATGTCGGACAAACAGTATGTATATTTGATGAGGGGGAGAGGAATATATTGGGGGTTATAGGTTTCTTGCTCACTGTAACTATTTAAAGACCCCTGCTTAAAGACCAAGCACAGATAGAAATACAAATCTGAGAGAGATACCACCTTGATACCATGCAAAGTATTTAAATGCAGATCCAATTAATTTGCATTTCAGTGTCCTTACTTGCATGTTAGCAGCTTTTCAGCATATATGGGTTGGTGCCTTACTCTTGGTATAAGTATATGTTCCAACCTCTTATTGAGGTCCATTTTGTGTAACTGTGCTGCAGGCTGTCCTGAGTTTTTCCCAGTCCCACGGCACACAACACAAGGTGATAAATGGACTCTGTTGCTTGAATTTTTTTATGTAATTACTGTTCTCTATGTGTTCTGATGCAAACATCCACCACTAACAGAAGTGGGTGCATCCCCCGACCCCTATCTTACTACAGGGTGCAGTAACACCTTTTCTTGGTGCGACCCCAATCACCAGCCTAGGCTTTATAGGCTGTATATCCTTCCTTTATTAGAAAATGCATTCATTACTGAAATCTCTTCTTACCTCGTATTATGCATTTTATACTACAAGAGTTGACAGAGAACTCCGGGCATATGAAATCCTAATCCTTGCAATGGATTAAGGGTTAAGTGCTTGTTTTGTCTAGGGAGCTAAAATAATAAGATATACTCGTTCGAATCGCAGAGCCTGCTGGCTGTTAGACCCGACCTGCAGCCTTGCTCCCCCGCTGCTTGGGGATGGAATGTCCCTCAGCATGCTCTCATCCAATACACTGTATTGAATGTGATAACTCACGCGGCCTTAGACCGCCGGAGCGAAGGGGGAACGAATCCGCAGGGACCGGTGTAGCCGCCAACTGGGTCTGAGATTCAGGTGAGTATTTTGTTCTTTTAGCTCCCTAGAAAAAACAAATAAACAAAGAAAAGGAGAAAGCGCACTACCGGGGAGTCCACAGTGGCTGGAGGGGTCACTTAGGCTAGGGTACAGTGTGCAAGCTCTTTGCAAACAGGGAGAGGTACCCTGTGATGACAAAACCAAAAAACAACCTATGTATTGAGAGCGCTACTACTGTTGGTGTAGGGTTATTGAAAAAAAACTCACATTTGAGAAGTCCTTGGGGATTCTCCGGGGGTGAAGGGATGGAGTCCTTGGAGAAGTGAGACACGGTGGACTGCAGTGGTATGGACGGCTCCAAGGATTCGTTTGTGGAGAAGGAGCAGCTATCTCACGGCGGGACTCAGCTGGCCAGGCTGAGCCGTAGCGGCCAGAAGTGCTATGTAGAAGGATACTGTGCGACACGTGCTCTCAGCGGTCGTCTCTTAGTCAGCGGGTATAGGAGAACTAGCGGTGATGGCATTGAGAGTGTGCTCTCCTCTCCGAGTGTCACAGTGAGGGGCTGTAAACAGTTGCCGGTGGTGTGTAAGGGGTAGATTGCTACGCGTTTCGAGGCATAAGCCTCTTTGTCAAGCTCGGGAGAAGAACGGAATTGCGGGAAATTCACGATTTTTAAAAAGTGACAGCTGGGCGGAGACAGCTTCAATAGCGCTGTCCTGATAGGTGGAGTGGTATAGTGGGGCGGGTCGAGTATAGGAGCACGCCCCATAAGTATAACGGGCAGCACTATATATTTAACTATACTGAATCCTTTGAATCCTTTAAACCCACTACATCCTGTATGACAGAACGAATGTGAGATGCAAACTGCAGAAAACAAGCCAAGTGCTGCCCGTTATACTTATGGGGCGTGCTCCTATACTCGACAGTATAACCTGTAAATACAGTTTAATTTTCTATCTCATGTTGTCGCATTATAACGGAGCATGGTGTTCGCTAAATATATTTCATTTATTTTTGTCTAGCTCAGATTGGTAGCACTGAATCCGAACTCAAGAAACTTGCTCAAGAAAATCCAGATCTTGAAGATGCTTACGTTGCAAAACAGAAACGCCTAAAAGTAGGTCTTATCAAAAGGACTTTCAAAAAGGTCTTTTCCTAGTATATATTTACCAAAAAAATAGCTTCACCTTCAGAAACCTAATGGTTGCTGTGTACCCGTCACCAGTATGGGCATCATTGTCCAGTCAGCATCCAACCGACATCACCAGCCCCAGTGACAACTCCAACTTTTTTTTTAAATCAGACAGAAATGTTAATAGTACTACTATAAACAACAACAAAAGTACAGTAGACTAAGAAACAATGCAAGGATTTAGAGATCCTGGAGCTTCTGTATTTTTTGTTGTTTTTCTTCTATTTGCCTTGTTGACTATTGTCACTGAAAGAGAAAATAATGGGAGATCGTAAATGTTACAGTTGTCCCCAGAACAAGAGTTGGGGGGAAAATCGAATGGGAACATGTGTTCTAGGGACAACTGTCTAAGAGAGGTATTCCTTTCACTTTGTAGAAATGTTCTCATTTCCTGTTCCTGCTTTACTACAGGACGTAAAGAGAAATCTCCCCAGCTTTGACAGAAATTGTAGACAGAAGTTAGCCAGTGCGTCGTAGAGGTTCCTGGTCCCTGTTCTCATTGATTGAAATCTGTCCTGCCACCAGTCAATTTTAATCAAACTCTCAGATACAGCTGCATACAGGTTTGCCAGCGGCAGGACAGTTTAAATGAGCAAGAATAGGCCAAAATGTAGAAACGCAGGGCACAGGCAGGTGTTTTCATACAAGAATTAATGTGCTACTATGCACAGCATGGTGTTTTAACCCCTTCAATAACGTTATGTTTCTTAATTTTCAAACAATTGCGGCAAAAAAATCAGATCACCTTTCTACTTTCCAAAAAGGGGCATTTTCGGGGATTTTCATACTTTATTTGCTATTATTTATTATTAAAGTAAGAGAAACAGGCTTTTTTTAAACTTTATATACAGGGCTATTCACGAAAGGGTGAAGAGTTTGGAGAAGGCAGGAGAAGTGAACAATCTAGGACAACATAGCTAAACTGGAACGTGAGCTGAACTGGAGAATTTTACCAAATCAGCTATGTTGTTCTAGATTGTTCACTTCTCCTGCCTTCTCCAAACTCTTCACCCTTTTGTGAATACCCCTTTAAGTAAAAGAAATATACAAAGTGGTTATTAAATACCTTTAAAGAAAGCTATATTTGTCTCAAAAAATTATATAAATTCCAATTTTGTTACATAATGGGGGATTTGCACAGCGCTGAAAACTGAAAAACGGCCTGGTACTGAAGGGGGTGTAATGTGGCAGTACTGAAGTGGTTAAGGCAACTCCATCACCAGATAAAATATTTAAAAAAGCAGGTTAATACTCACCTGTTCCACAGATGTTCACTCTTTTGTGGATCTAAGCTTGCTGAAACCTTTTAAGCATCTGACACTCCTGAACGTGTAGGATGCTTGGTCTCTCTCTGCACACTGTGGTTCTCCAGTATGTGCCAGCCCCAACCTCTCTACAAGACACAGTAGTGATTTAGGGGACCAGTGGACTGAATCACAGCATGCAGCAATGTCCAGGGATGCAGCAGAGGGAAGATTGGTGGTGCGGGTGGTGGGACAAGTATTGAACCTTCTCTTTACAGGTTGGCAACAGATTCTTGTTAAGTGTGCCAATCAGTATTTACAATACTAAAGTCAGATCATTCTAATCCTTTTGTAACATCGTTTCGCTGTATTTTGCAAAGCATTGCAAAAAGTTGTTGGTGCTATGTAGATCCTGTATTATGATAATCATAATAATAATGCATGATGAATTCCATTTAGTTATAACCATGCATAAATTCTGTTGTAAATATGTACATTCTATAAACGGCTGCCAGACAGAAGATTTATATCCGATCATCAGCATGTTTTACCATATGAAAGGTTAGCATCATGTTTAATCTGCTTATGCCTATGTCTTGGTAGAACAAATTGATGGAACATGATAATATAAAATATCTGACAAAAATCCTGGATGAGCTGGAAAAAGTCCTAGATCAAGTTGAAGTGGAGTTACAGAGACGGAGTGAAGAAACTCCAGGTCAGTGCCGTATGTCTAAATGTGTGTCAGTATAAAGTAACTGTCTGTTCAGCACCTAACAATCATTTAGATTCCAACAGAGAATCTGGTATCACAGCAGTTCTTCTTTATCCAGTTAAACATCACCCAAGTACCCCTTTTGCCCAAGACTTCCTTTAATGCAGCACTTGTGCTCCCTGTAAAATTGCGGGGACTGACAGACGGGTATCGTTCTGTGCTTCAGGAGCACATGTAGTGTGTTATGTTACAATGTATGTTATGTGCTTTGATTGGCACCAAGCGTCCACTCATAGCAAATGAAAAGCAAAAGTTTTTTTTGCATATCAGTCCTAATTGACTTATTCTTGAATATTGAATATTATTTTGTTGCTGATTTATTTATTTAGCATTCTATTTATTAGGACTTTTTGCCTGTATATTGTGATATAGCACACACACGGGATACTGAGTTCCAGCCAAACACGGTCCTCTAGGGTATAACCAGCTTCCAGCATGCAATTGCGAATATAAACAGTCTTTCTTTATTTGCATGTCACTGAGTGGCATTGAACAACACTCAAAAGGTGATTGAAAACTACAAACAAAATCCTAGCTCTTTTAGAGCACTAACTAAACATTTTCAGCAACCCTGGCTATCCAAGCAGAGTAACCAACAAAAGAAACAGACTTTTTTTTTTTCTCTGAGAAGTTTCACTCACCACCCTGCCCTCAGCAGTCCAGTCAACAACTTCTCTCCAGGAGTCAGCAGCCTCTGAATTTAGCTGCTGCTAACTACTTAATTAAGGAAATATGTGTGAGTGGATAGAGACTATGGAGGATTCTGGGTCCTACATACCTCCCCTCCACTACTCTTCCACACACCCTGTCACAATATATATATACAGGTGAAACTCGAATAATTAGAATATCATGCAAAAGTAATTGCAGTAAGTGCTGCAAAAGGGGCCCAAACCAAGTACTGAGTACATATGCATGCTTGTACTTTTCAGAGGTCCGATATTGTTCTATGTACAATCCTTGTTTTATTGATTGCATGTAATAATCTACTTTTTTGAGGTTGTGGATTTGGGGTTCTTGGGGTTTTCATGAGCTGTAAGCCATAATCATCACAATTATGACAAATCACGGCTTGAATTATCTTGCTTTGCATGTAATGAGTCTATCTCATATATTAGTTTCACCTTTTAAGTTGCATTAGTGAAATAAATGAACTTTGCACGATATTCTAATTATTCGAGTTTCACCTGTATTGTATGTGTTGGGGTTTTTTTGGGGATGGAAGGAGGTAGTGTTATTATTGTGGTTCCACCAGCCTTCCTCTTTGTCCCTTTGACAGTGGCCTGTAGTGATGTAGAAGATGGTGAGTGGACCACAGTGCAAAGTGGGGGTCAGACACCTGACATAAACAAAAGTGTGTTTGATGTTGAAGATTCCTCTGCCGACTTTGTTCTGGAATGTAGTAAAGTTAGAACTCATTGCCCAGCCCATCTTCCTTTGCATGGTGATTTTTTAAAGCATATGTTTTAGTGGCAACACAGTTGCTTTAACAAACAGATGTACCTAATAAAATGGAAAGTGAGCTTATGACTTGTGTTACCATCAGTATTTATAAACATGGTGAGATGCCATTTTCTTATGGCTGAAACAATGTTGACTACTAGACTCATTTTCAGGTTTCTTTGAAATGTAATCTGATATATACAAACTTGGAACAATTGGTAGATGTCTATTAATGTTGTCAGAAGACAGATATTAGCAAATAAACTGATAAGACTCATGGAGGAGCTCAGCTATGAGGAAAGATGAGCTGAGCTCAATGTATTCCTCCTTGAGAAGAGGCAATTAAAGGGGGATATGATCATCATGTATAAATACATAACTGATCCATATAGTAATTGCGGTGCAAAACTATTTTCTTTAAGGCTATTACAAAGGACAAGGTGCACGTTTTGAGTATGGAAAAAAAAAGGGTTAGCCTCCCTTTCAAAGGCTTCTTTACAGTAAGAGCTGTGAAAATGTGGAACAAGTTCTCTCAGGAACTAGTTCTAGCCAGCTCAGTTGAATATTTTTTTTAAAAAACTGGATGAATTGCAAAATGCACAGAATATAACTGGATATTAACACTTGCTAATCTAGGGAATATCCGACTGCCTTAGGGAATCAGGAACTTTTTTTTTCGCCTGCTGGAGCAAATTGGACCATGTTTTAAAAGGATCAACTGTGGGAACAGGATTCTGTATATATATTTCTATTTTTTTCATTAGTTGAACTCAAATGTCTTTTTTCAACCTGAATTTTAAAAGATTTAGATTGTGCTGCTTGAATTCCTCTACCCACATGAATGAAGATAAGGCATACTGCATTCAGAAAATATATAATGTTGGGGGGTTTTAAGTAATTTTCAGGCCTAAAATGTGGAATATAACATGGGTACAAAAAATGAAAAAAAGGCCTCAGTCATGAAGGGGTTAAACCTATATCAAGGCCTTCCAATCAAACCATCTAATATGAATTCTCCATTATGTTTGTTATCCTTACATGCAAGAGAGATTAATTAATAGATTGGCTATCATTTTTTCTTGCAGAGGAAGGAACAAGTAATAAGTCCTGGCTGTGTGGACAGTTCTTCAGCCTGGCAGACGTATCGTTAGCAGTTACTCTCCACCGGCTGAAGTTCCTCGGATTTGCTCGAAGAAACTGGGGGAATGGCAAGCGTCCTCATCTGGAGACATACTATGAACAGATCCTGCAGAGAAAGACTTTCAATCAAGTCCTGGGAAACGTCAACAATATTCTAATATCTGCTGTATTGCCAACTGCGTTTCGTGTGGCAAGAAAACGAGCCCCCTCTATTCTTGGTTCAACCCTGATAATGGGGTTACTGGCCGGGGCAGGGTACATCTTCTTCATATGCATTAGAAAAAGACTGTTTAACGTCTTCTCCTCAGTTAGGGCAAAACACTTTTTTTAGCTCTTTTAAAGATTGTGGATAAGGATATTAGTTTGATGTCATCACCACTGCTAATGAACATACAAGAATAGGGCACAAAATGGGAAGCGGTCTTAGTCAGTGTACATTTAGAATTGCCCGGCCACACACATATCTCAAGTATACAACTGTGTTTAAATATATCACACCATAATAAAAGGAATAAATATTTAAGAAGTGTCGTTTTTATTAATATTTAAAGAATGTGTTAAGCTTATCACACGTTATAATCTGGTTGTACAATCTACTTTATATCTACCAGCAACTATGTAGTGCAAGGGACTGCCTGTTTGGATATAAATTGTTTGAATCGATTAGGTAGGTTCTTATATTGTATAGTTTTGGTAAATCTAAAAGCTGATTGCACAAAGATTGTATGATCATAATTATGATGTTTAGTGCCCCACTATATTGTATTTATCAGAATGAACCTGAAAAGATATCTGAAAATAGGTATTCACTAGTTAGTTTGATAAAGATTACAAAACCTTCCAATACACTTTATTTCCTAAAAATGGCAACATGCATAACAGTTTCCGTTGAAGAAAAAATGAACTGATTACGAGCTAACAGGATGAACTGTGGCTGAAAAGACAGATGTGGCAACAGGGGCTCTTTATGTAGAACCAATGGCCTAAACTGGACTGTAGAACAGACTCCAAGCCAAGCCAATTGGGTTTCATTGTATAAACCTTTAGCATCTCTTCTCTTTCATGTCCTCTCTTCATGTCCTCTCTCTGTTTACATGGACAAGACTTAACCTTTCCTGCATTTAAATTTAATTATTTGCTTGACATAACAGTCATCATCATCATCAGCAAAATTCCAATGCCCTTGGCAAGCTTGTTGCTTCTGGGTGTTTTTCTAGGTCCTGTGTGAATGGGCTTCAGTCTGAGACGCTTCTATAATCATTCAGAATGAATTGATGGTTGCATTTGATTTGCAGTTGACCTTCTTCTGACTTGCAAATGGGTTTTGCATCCTAAAAGACTGGTATGGAAATGCAAAACCCATTTGAAGTGAACAAAAGCACACCAACACAGACCTTTACTTCATCTGTGCGGTGGGGACCCTACTAAACTCCAGGCATGGGGGTTACCTTACCGCTGAAGGGTTTTAAGTATAGGTGAAAAGTAACAGTCACTGTCTGTCTCACCCAACATCAATTCTCTTTGCAGTACTCAATTCATACCCTTCCACATAAGGTCTTTGTTGGACACAAGGGACCACTGTTCTCTCTTGTAACGTTACTGTAACTTGTAAAAGGGTAACATCTGTTACAGGAATCAGGGACATACTTGAACTGGGCAGAACTTTTTTTCAACATTATCCAGATATCATTAGTCTCTAGTTGGTGCAAATACTGCAGTGGAGCATCTTCTTCAAATAGAAACAACTTGGCCCAAAATGTGAGTTCCCTCTTCCTGAACTGCTTCATTAATCTTAGGACTCTCTCCCCTAGTACACCGGTACCATGTAATTCCCATGGATTTACACATACATTGGCAATATTTATTTTCAGCAACCACACAAAATGCTCTTTTGCTACACATCTGGAATAGTTACACAATGAGAAAGTAAGGAAGTCTGTCAGTACAATTGTGGTTCTAAACTCGAAAAAACATAAATGTTGGTCAAAAAAATATGTTATTGAGGGCACTTGTTTTGAAATAAGCAATGTGCATCATGGGACTCATGTACATAGGATATGGATTTTAAAGCAGCAAAAACAATACAAAAAAAAATGCAGCTTTGGAGTTATATGAGATGCATTTGAACTGCTGTACCCGTGTACATGAGACTCTAAGGCTGGCTTCACATCCATGTGTTGCCCCAGTGTACTGTAAAATGCAAATTTTATCACATGTTACTGTAATACACAATAGGTGGTGCATTGTTGTGCTATGCATTTTGAATTTCATGTCAATGCACCTTGAAGTAGCACCCCAATGCATGTGCATTGCAGTACACCACAATGCATAGACAGACAAAATCTGTTAATTGTGGTGCAGCATTTTTTGGTGCATTGTGGAGCATCGGCGGCAAATTTAAAGTGAATAGACATTGCGCGTTTATACAAGAAATTCTGCACATTAATGTGCATGTAGTATACTAATGTAATGCACATTAATTAAGGGGGCTTTAAGGATTGTGCTAAAAGACCTTCCCATGCTTGCTCAAATTGCTACACTACCAAGACCTGGAGACTCCCCACTGAAAAACATTATTTCAGCTATACAATACTCTTGCAGGCTTTGGGTATTATATCTTCTGCTGACTCCACTGGAGATCAGTATTTACAAGACAATATAGCCCATAAAAGCAAATCCATTTGATCAGTATGGCTAATATTTGCATCCCCATGTGATCAGCAATGACAAACCTGCTTTTCTAAATGATTTAAATATTTGTGGAATGATTTAAATAAATGTAGACATCTATTAGAATGATTCTATTCATTGAAAGTCTGAGGAAGCTGAAATTGTAAGGGCAAGCTGAGTGTGAGTGTAAGTCTCACAGTTTTACACTGTGTAGGTGCTTAACAGTAGAAATAAATGCTATTTGCAAATAGATGCAATCTCTAAATCCATAAAACTATGAGATGAATGTGTCGGGGTCATTGAAAAGACCACTACATATGTAAGGTAATATTTTATTATTTGGAAGAAGTCTTTGGTATTTGATGAAAGGTCATGTTGTACCCGTTGCTTTTCTTTTAACAAACAAAGTCAAGAAAGAACTCAAGACTTACAGTGATAAGCTATACGTTTTAGTTGAAATCATTTTTAGGGAGTACTGTAATGCAGGTTATAAGCTAAAAACATATGCTACAAATGACCACCAGATGTCAGCAGTGTGCCACCCTGAATATGTAAGGTAATATTTTATTATTTGGAAGAAGTCTTTGGTATTTGATGAAAGGTCATGTTGTACCCGTTGCTTTTCTTTTAACAAACAAAGTCAAGAAAGAACTCAAGACTTACAGTGATAAGCTATACGTTTTAGTTGAAATCATTTTTAGGGAGTACTGTAATGCAGGTTATAAGCTAAAAACATATGCTACAAATGACCACCAGATGTCAGTAGTGTGCCACCCTGAATTAATTCATCAATTACATCAAACTTTCTCATGAACTACTATGGATCTTTTTTATTGTTACAATATTCTTAAGCCAATAGGAACATTCACAGTAATCAATAGGAAACTTACTCGATAAGGCAGGAATGTTCACTTCAAACAGGGACATGGCATGAAACTATGGAAGGGTTTGCTGGGAGTTTAGCAGTGCCATACTACAACGACTCCTGTCGGGGCCAGGACCATCCTCCATCTACTGTTGTTTAAACAGGCCTGTTAACTATATGTGTCCAAGCCTGGACTAGGGATCTGGTATATGCTGGTATACAGTATGTACACATGGACTTTTGTTAGCTACTATAAGATGCTCAGTCTCTGTAAGTACCTGTTCAAAATAATAGTAATGCCAGTTCAAAATTATATTTTAACTTTTTTTTTTATTACAAGTTACAGTTTCAGGATTTTAATAAATTACTGAAAATACATGTTTATCAGATAACCTTTTCCTCCCTGATGACCCACCCCTCCTCTTTAAAACATTATCCCAGAACCTGAAAGATTGCCAAAAGGGACTACTAAACCAAGCTTTTAAGGAATTTGTATATTAAATTATATTAAACAGTTACAATTTTTGCTGGAGTGTGGCTGTCAGTATGTTAGCTGCAGTGCAGTGCGTTTTTGACGCATTTTAGACCCGTTTTTGATGCGTTCTGTGTTTCCGGACCGTTTCCTGACCGGACAAAATGTGACATGCAGTATTTTTTCTGTCGTAACCTAAACGGACTGCGCACGTGAGAATTGTAGCCAATAAAACACATAGGGATACATTGGGATGCATTTTTAGTGCAGGAGCGTACGGATCATGTCAGCACAGAAAACGGACCGCGTGTGAACAGGCCCTAAGACAGGAGATGTTGCCAAAATCCACCAGTCAGGTTTCACCTTTAATTTTATGGAAGATTTAAAGAAGAATTTTGATTGGTTTCTGTAGGCAGCAGCAATTCCATGCTCATTTCATTGTGTGCAATAATAACAAATTAGACCAAAAATGTAAAACCATATAATCCTACTGGCCCCAGGCTATCATGTACCCCTTACCTACACACTTTGCTGCCACAATGCCATGCTTTTTTTCAAAAAGAGCAGCACTGGGCTTAGAACTACACATGTGCTGTGAAAAATATGCGTCAGCCAGTACCTCATGGTGGTTCAACCTCTCTCATATGTCCTCACCATAATTGTTACTTATAAACTGGTGTCTGTCTCCCCACATCATTGTCCCATCCACAGGCAGATGTTTTAAATGGATTTCACTAAAACGCACATCTTATTGGTCCTTTATCCCTTTCTTCCCATCTTATTGGTCCTTTATCCCTTTCTTCCCATCTTATTGGTCCTTTATCCCTTTCTTCCCACTAGCAGCATAGAACCTACTTGCTTGGGACTGGGGATCAGGAGACTGCCACATACAGGTGAAACTCGAATAATTAGAAAATCGTGCAAAGTTCATTTATTTCACTAATGCAACTTAAAAGGGGAAACTAATATATGAGATAGACTCATTACATGCAAAGCAAGATAATTCAAGCCGTGATTTGTCATAATTGTGATGATTATGGCTTACAGCTCATGAAAACCCCAAGAACCCCAAATCCACAACCTCAAAAAAGTCGATTATTACATGCAATCAATAAAACAAGGATTGTACATAGAACAATATCGGACCTCTGAAAAGTACAAGCATGCATATGTACTCAGTACTTGGTTTGGGCCCCTTTTGCAGCATTTACTGCAATTACTTTTGCACGATATTCTAATTATTTGAGTTTCACCTGTATACTGTACAGTAGGTATGAACTGTTTGTGTTGCCAGTGATAGGTATGGGCTTCCCCAATTAGCTAAGTCTAGGGAGTGCTTGGTCTTTGTCAAAGAACCCTCCAAAGAAATTTTGGTTTTGCCGGGTGACAATCAAGGGGACAAGGGTAAGGACCCATGGATTTTCCTCACTGGTGACAGCTGATAAACAACCTAAGTTAATAATTGTCAGGAAAGAGATCA